AAAAATTTCCCAGGTTTCCCGATTCCCGGCAAAATCTCCAGATTCCCGGAATAAATTTGTTTTTCTCCCGAAACAGCCCTTGTTAGAGCTGTCACCCCCCGTACTTTCTCCTTAAAGGTGTAATTAATTATTGTTTTGCATGCATAGTAGCCACCGTTTTTTCAGGACTAAGGGAGAAATTTCAAGGATGTTAGCATGCACAAGGCGAGAACGACCCCAGTTTCCTGTTTATGCCCCCCATTTTCCATGATCAACTTGGCAAGGTGGATCCACACAATTTTTTTGCCTGAAGGGAGTTTCTGAAGGGGTTGCCATTAGTGAACGAGGTCTTCTCTCTTGACTGATTGTTTTCTGTCGCATGCAAAAAACGGTTTTTTAAAGACACTAAAAATGTCCTGGAAAGGGAAGAAAACTGGTGTTACTTTGTCAGTTTTAGAAAATTGATTTGGAATGTCATCTTTAGTTTTGTTCCAATGAGCGAATCAACACTCAAGTGAAACACCTCATAATAATTATTGGTTAATGTCGTTATGATACTACACTGTATAATAAATGTATGGTCTGAATGACTCTTCAGGTGGACATGCAGGTCTAGAATATGTTTCCTTAAAATAATAATAGTGATGAAAAAGCTAACTGTTAGCTCTTAAAAATAACAAAATTAATTTTCATTGTCTTTTGCTGTTCAACACAATGATTTAGCCACTTGGCCATGAATGGTAACCTGTTTAGAAAGTTTAATAATCAAGCTTCTAAGCTACACTGTATTCATGGCTATCCATCCATTGCAACAATTTCATAAGCTGTTGAGCCATTCTAGGCCATGTGTTTATAATTTTTTAGTGTATTGAATGTTCCATGTTTAGTGTTTGAAAGCCAGTTTACTTTATCGGTGCTGATATGAACTCGCATCCTTAGGCACAAGTGAAGGCAAAACAGAACTTGAATCCATGGAAGCTATGATGGGATTTTCAGGTTTTGGTAAGTATCTATAGATATACAACTTATGGTGAATAAACTAAAAGCTTGTGCATATCGTCCTGTTTTATGAGTCTGTGAGTCCACAAGTTTTGAGTAAAGTTATGAGCCAGGTTAGGGTTAACGTTTAGTGTTACAGATACATGTACACATAGGGTTGAGGTTAATTGATTATAATACATATGTGCGTGAACATGTTTTTTTAATTAAAACTGTATGGTACAGTATACTTGGTAAGATTCAGATTGTTAGTGCATTTTGCACATAGAAGTCAGAAAGGGAATTACATGTAACTGGTAAAGTACTAGTTAGGGTTCTATATCACCACACGAGTTATGGAAACAGAAAACTGTGTGATGTAGATATAAGGAGAAAACCATTGGATATTCATGTATATGGATTGCATACAGTGGGTGAATATCCGTGGGATATCTTGGTAAGTGAAAAGTCCTGGTACTTAAAGGCAAAGAAGATAACATGATAGCTAAAGTTTCAAGGTAACACCATGTTCTGGTATATGCAATGATTTAATATTTTCTTTGGTTATAAAATTTTCAAACCTGTTTGATTTTTGTCTCCTATTGCCTCAAAGGGCTAAGAGTTAAAGAAAATTATAAATTTGCATTGTAAGCTACAGTCTTATTTGTGAAAATTAATTTACATTGAAGAAAAACATTGAACCTGGACATCCAATCAAGTACACTGTATCTGTTGCACTCACTAGTATGGAACATCTTGTTAAAGTGACCATCTAATAAAAGTGAAGACAATAAAAAATAACTTGTTGTTACCTTGGAAAAGTGGACTGAGACTGCTTAAAGGGACAGTGTCTTGATTGTGCGCACACGCGAGCGTCATCTGTTTTTTCTTGAAAAGACAATAGAACTGTCATATTGACTTGACAAGATCTCCTTCCGGACCGCACCGCTGACGGAGATTTGTCGTTTACATTCTCAAGTAATATTTTAGACTTTCAAAGAAGTTTTTCGTCATATTTAAAATTTGGCTCGTGGCATGAAGACTCATTGCGATTTTGTCGCTAGCATGGCCGCCTCGCAACCCAAAAATCTTGTTCCACTCGCTTTAAAAACAGCTTTTCTTATGTGAAACTTGTGTCAGAGGTCAATTTTTCCAAGTCCAGTAATATTTGCTTGAGTTGCTCGCATTCTAGCTTCAAACGTTTGAAAGATATAAATAAAAATGCAATCTCAGCGCGATGAATTATCGCAAAGGTTAGTCAAAAATTATATTATGATTTCATTGCACTAGTTTTTCTAAAAATGTAGTGCCTGTTTGTTTGATTTTGTTGGCCGTAGGGAGGTTCATTTAAAAGTTTACTAACGCATTGTTGCAAAACATTCTGCTTCACGAAGCTTAATTCCACAAGATCTCCTCAGTCACATCCATGTGTCAATGGTTTCTTTCTTACAGTCTCTGTTGTTGCTGTTTCATTTCTGCGTATTCCTTTCGCAATTATCTGAGCTTGTATGGAAGCTGGTAGAAGAAACAAGCCTTCACTCGGGATCAAAGTACTTCCCATGTTTTGGTCCTCTGGCCAACGGCAATAAAAGTAACTCCAAAAAATCCCTATTTTGCCCAAATCAAAACTCAACGGGAACAATATATCATTGATCTGTAATCCTGGGAAGTTTTAGTGTAGTATCGAACTCTACTAAGCGCAATGCAAACGGATTTTTCAAGGTTCTCTTACTCTCCTCGCATCTTTTGATTTTGCGACATCCTGTCCAAAAATCAAAGTTTGGTGCATGCACAGTAATGGGATACTGTTCCTTTAATAGAGGTGACTGCTTAACACATGTCAGTTGTACAGTAATTGAAGGAATATTTTTTGGGACTTAGGTAGGTGAACGCTTAAAGAGGGTGACCACTAAATAGAGGTTCGTTTAATACTTTGTTTATTTTTTAAGTTGGAAACTTTGGAAATAACAGTTGTCAGTGGATTTCCCTTTTATAAATCAGTAACCAGACCTCACATTAATTTTTCTTAAATTTATAACCAGGAAAAAAGACTGCAAAGCATTTTAATGTTGAAGATATGTTTGAGAAAGCAAAAAGGACAGCTGTGGAACTATCCAGCAGTAGAAAGAAAGGTACCAATAATGTAATTTATTGTATTAGAGAGAAAATCTGAAGAATTATGTAGAAATAATACTTGTTAATTGCTATGCACTATGACTTAAGGAATATTTTGTCAAATGGAATCCTATGAGTCACCCAGTACTGACTCAGACAAACATTTTGATCCATTAAAGACAAACGTGCATGTCTGTATGGCAACAGTCCTCTCTATGGGTACCTACAGACGTTGTTTTTATCGCACATTTTCCATCAAATCGTTAGTTTTTCATGAAAGGCTGCAAAACAATGATTTTTTTACGGTGGTGATGCCACTAGCGAGCTTGAGCAATCACAACCCCATAACAGAAACAAGAAAATAAATGATAAAAAAGCAATAGGTTTAATGAGCAAAACAGCTTTTAACGTGCATTATACTTTTTGGTAGATTTGCACAAATAACATTGTCAAACTTGGGAATGGTCATGCGATCGTCGCTTAAATCTCTAAAACTGTCATTTCATCAATAGCGATTGTCATAATTTTAATTTGTCGGAAATACCCATACAGAGGCTCAATAGGGAAACTAAAAAATGGAAACTTAACAAATTGTGAAGTTAGCTTACTAGAGAGATAAGAAATGCTTAGTACTAAATACTGCTGCTTGAGTGAGGGTAAAACCAACTTGAGTAGGCCAAAATCTCTCAAAGAGTTGCTGGAATGTTGGAGAAAGTCTTCCTGTCATTTCCAAAACCTACAAGGCATCACAAAGTGCAAGCATTGTTTGGCTAGTGGCTGGCGTGGCTGGCTTGTAGGAATTGTTTACAGAGTCTGAAAAGTATCACATGTACTAGAATCTATAGTATATACTAAAACAGTGGATAGTGTTTTTCGCACACTCTAATTGGCTACTCAGTCAGTGAATATCGCTGCACTATTCACTGATTCACCTCCAGTTCCTCTGAGCGAGTGATACAAACTTGTGTAAGTTGCGAGCAAAATGCCTTCCTGGTTTACTGCCGTAACAAACAAAGAAATTTCACAACTAATCAAGCAAGCTGTTCCCAAAATACACGAGGGAAGGTGACGAAGTTCGGTTTGAAAGTTTTAACAGTGTCTTTTTGACTTGAATTTATTAATAAAACCGTTGAAAATGTTTTTTGTTTACAAATGCAAATGAAGTCTTGTGTTACTTTACTATTTAGTTGACTTGTTCATAAATAATCCTAAAACTAAATGTAATAATCTTTTTTACATAATGATTTTAAATACAAAAAGAATTTACAACTCCTTTTAAAGAAATTTCCCCACAAGAGCTAAACAAATGCCTTCAAAAGTTTTATTTGTCGGTAAGAAAAAGCGACAACCACGGACATTCGGTCATTGTGCGCCAAAATAAATGGCAAGCAGAAAATGAGTTAAAAATCATCATTTTTGTGCTTAATTATCTCACTGTTTTAGTATACAGCTATTTTGAGAAAGGTTGTCGGAAAAAATGTGCACGTGACAGTCCCGAAAGGAAATACGGGATATGATCAATACACTGTTCCTGACGACTGTAGCTGTCAAACCTACTTTTATTACTTTCCTTTAGCACTTACAAACGCATTTCCATGGCCTTTCATGCCAATTCTTTCAACTTTCTTTGAACAAAAGAGACTTCGAAATCACCCACAATGCCTTTCATGATTGTTGTGTGCACTTTTCCTGACAACCTTTCTTGAAATAGCTGTGTACTAAAACAATTATTCACCTCACTGTCAGTGGCTAGTGGTGGCTATTTACCTCGCCACTTCACGGCCTCGGTAAATATTCACCACTAGCCACCTTCGCTTCGGTGAATAATTGTTATTTATACAAATGTTTGTGCTTTTTGTGGCATGAAGAAAAGGTGCTGCAGCCAAAATTCCTGTTCTTCTGAAAGCAAATCTGTTGCTAGAACAGTTTAATGGAGAATGCTTAAGAAAAAAGCCCTGAAATCTAGAGCTGAGCCAGGGACAAACTATAAGAAGCATGTTTAAAACAAGTAGCAGCAAACAAAATTATGTTGCATAAGGCAAAGAAGTGCTGTCATTTGTTTGTCTGTCCACATGTTTACTTGTTCAAACGATTATTGGTCCTAAAAATAATGGATATGTTTATAGAACTGTTTATTAGAGCTCTCCCAAAATGAATTCATTTGAGTGGTCAAACTTGAAATTGAAATTTCCTTCAATAACTCTGTAAAGCTGTAAGAGTATTAAGTCACAGGTGCATGAATGTTTATATTGATGTAGTATGTTGGTTGGAGTTTTAATTTTAGTTTTTTGCTTTTCCACTTCATGTTTCATTGAAGAAGAAGAGTGTTTGTGTACAATGTTTCCCTAGTAACTGGTTATTAAAAATAAAAAAACCATCAGAAAAGGCAATGACTGAGAGCTGAAAACACAGTGTAATGACCATTCATTTATTAAAGTGAGAATTATTAACATTCTTACCTACATGGTGTGCCCTGTCGTCTTGACAAGGAGAGCTATATATACAGCTACACTATATAAGGAAACAATCAGAATGTACTTTTTATTAATTGTACTTTTTAGATCCCTCTGAGGATGATATTGAAGATCATCCTGCACCATTTGTGATCATGCCACCAGTAGCTATGGACAAAAAGGTACAACTGGCAAAAAACATATCATTGTATTATTGTATGTAACTTATTTTAAATCTTTTTCTACAAATAAATAATATTAGTGTCTTTGGTAGTTGTGACCATTCAGATGAAAGCTACTGAGCAGTGTTATCCTGTTGATTATCTATGCTCCACCCTCAATGTGCCGCTTCCATCATTTTTTTGTCAATTAAAATAATGCTAAGGTGTGACCATTCAAATGAAAACAATACAGTGAAACCTCTATTAAGGGGACACCTTCCCAAGTGTCCGCTTAATAGAGGTTTGTAAAAATTGGGCAATGTTTGTTAACAATAATTAATATTCAACGGTTACTCTGTACTGTTATAAAGTTCCATGTTGTTAAGGAAGCTAAGGAAGCTCTGCTGTACTTTGTGCAAGATTTTCGGTCTAATCTACAGTTTATTGACAGCTAAATGTATTGATTTATCTTTATCAATCAACTAGAATACGTATTTCAAGGCCCGGGGGGGGGAGGGGGGTACTTCCTTATAAGAGGCTAATGGGGATGTGTCGCTGGATGGGATCGTATTTTCATGACTGGATTGACTATAATGGGGTAGCATTTTCAATAGAGTTTCTAGAATGGGGCCGCACATGCAATTGTGCAGTTCTCTCTTGTGGACCTACTTTTACTAATAATTATGCAAAAGAACATGCTTCTAAGCACGGTTATTATCTGAAGTCCTGTTTACACTTTTTCAAGATTTTTCAAGCATGTATATGTTGTAGTTAATTTTTATCTCAGGTGATTTTTATTTTTCCTTTGTTTCAACTTCATTAGCAAACATTACCATACCCAAAAACAAAAGAAAATCAAAAATACCTGAGATGCAAAATTAACTACAACATATATAATTAATGGTTATTACTTCATTATTTAAGCAATAGAAAAAGTTTTCCATGTTCATAATTACACAGCCTGATATAAACATGGGAGGGGTTGGGAGAATTTGAGACAGTTATATAACTGTCGAGTATTCTCCCAATCCCTTGAGTGTATATATCAGGCTATGCAAACACAGGTAAAAAGTTTGCTGTTGCTTTTATAAAATAATTTTCCCGAGGATTAAAAAGAAAAGTTGTTGTTCATGGAACTTATTAAGAGAGAAATTCTTACCAGTTGCAAAGTTTTGTATACAAAGTTTTGTACACGTAATCAGTTCTTGTTTTCCAAAAAAGAAGCTTTCCAAAAAGAGAATTTTACTCGCTTAAACTGTCAGCTTAAGCGAAAAAAATTGACATAGCATGTTTGTAAAATGTTTGTTGATTGGTAAAATAAAGAAAAGTTGTTGAGTTTTCAATTCAAAACCTTTATCAATTTTGTGCTTGTGTGATAAGTGCATGCAAAGCAAAACATCTTGATGTCACAACTTTGTTTACATATTCTCACGCAAACATGCCTCTCGTTCAATCAGAGTGCACGCACTATTTTTAGTTATTTTTATAAAATGAAATTAAAATTTCTCTTGAGACATCTGACAGAGAAAGGAAGGAAGACAGCGATGATGATGATGACAGAGAAAATGATGATGATGATCAAGAGGTACACTTGCAAATTACTTCATTTTTAGTATGTTTAAATTATAAATAGAAAACTAATAATGATAATAACAATATTATTATTGTTTTCTCAGAGCCTGGAAGGTCGTATCCCTGTGAGTCATGAAATTTCACTGGATCATGGGAACAAAACAGTTGAGTTTCTTGTTTGATTGTTTTTGCTTCTAAATCTATGCCTTTTTGGGCAGAGAAACTGCTGGACTGATGGTATTGGTGTTACAATGTATTGCTTTGACATAAAATAATAGTTATAATAATGACTGTGATTTAATTGACCAAATACATTGTAAAAGTATAAAATGTATTGTAGTTGATAGATGTGATGCATTGTTGTAGGGTTTGTACATGATTGAAAAGAAGAAACGTGATTACTGCGCTCTTGATATCACTGGTAAATGATTAAGTTTTAAGGTACTGTACTTATATTAACTGAGTGCTAACTTAAAGAATTCTGTTTAAGGTGTCTGCCCTTGCCTTGGATCCATCAGGATCACGGCTGGTGACTGGAGGATATGATTTTGAGGTATGTGTTTCAACAAGGGACGATGAGAGATGACAGAATGTCTTGTGCCATTTTGGAGTATTTTATTTTGCTGAAGTTCTGTATATTTTTAGGCTGGCCATAAAATCACATGCCTTGACAGTGCAATGATGACTGAATCAAGGATTAAAATTATTTGAATCATTGTTACACGGTGGGCCCATAGGATGCAAAAAGCTGCAACCTAGGAACTATTTTTGCATTTTTTATTCGTTTGAGCTCAAACTTTGCAGGATGGTTGAACTTTGTATTCCAAAAAATCCCATGTTTTTTTGTTTTTTGATTTTAATGGTTTTGGTGGGAAAATGATGTCACAAGATTGCAGCAAAATTAAAATTTCAAGATATGGCAAAACAAATAAATAATTTAAAAAGCACGGCATGATAGAATAGAATGTGAACATTTTTTTTCAAAAACTCAATTAGTTAAAGAGTTATTAAACTTGATTTTTGAATTTCCCGCCATTCTGTTACTATTTTTAGAAACATAAGTATGTTTCAAGATGCTATTTCTCTAAAGCAAATGAGCTTTGCCCAAAATTTTTTCACATTTGTTTCTATCACCTCAAGCTCTTTCAAAATTATTTATTTGTTTTGTTATAACTTGAAATTTAAATTTTGCTGTCAATCTTGTGACATCATTTTCCCGCCAAAAACCGTTAAAATAAAAAAAGCAAAAAGCATAGGATTTTTTGGAATACAGAGTTCTACCATCCTGCAAAATTTGAGTTCAAAGGAATAAAAAATGCAAAAGTAATTCCTTGATTGCAGGTTTTTGGGTCCTGCGGGCCCAGCATGTTAAGTGTCTATGTGAAAATACATGTACGTACAATGTATTTTAAATTTCATGCAGAGGACCTTTAACATTTATTTTCTTCCTCAATTTGACGTATGACCACTGTAAAGAACACTCTACTCTACAGTTCTATAGTATAATAAGTCTATTTTTCAGGTAAAATTTTGGGATTTCAATGCCATGGATGCATCTCGCCGTGCTTTTAGGACACTTCAGCCATTTGAATGTCATCAGATTAAATCCATAGAGTATAGTATCACTGGTGATGTTGTTCTTGTTGCTGCTGGCAATGCACAGGTATACACAGTTCTGTTTACATTAGATTCATTGCAGGGATCTCTGTGCACTTCTTTTCCTTTAAACCCAGTCCCATCTACTGAGTAACCTTCTGTGTCATATTTTATTCCTTTTAGGCCAAGGTTATTGACAGGGATGGGTTTGAGGTTCTTGAATGTGTGAAAGGTGACCAGTATATTGTTGATATGGTTAACACTAAGGTATGTTTTGCACTGACAATGGAACTTACCTAAATGTTAAGATTGTACACAATTTATTATTAGGTTGAATAGTCAGGCATTATTTGTGAATTGAATGGCAGTATTTATACCTGGCAAGCATCTGTTATTCAAGGGTAGAGACTTTTTTGAAAAGCTGTGGTATTTTATCTTCATCATCTACATTTGTTGAAGTGTTTAAGTCCACGACAATATTTGAAAGATGAAGTGAATAATTCCATGATCTAACTCCTCTTACTGCTCTAACTTCCTGATGTATTAATTTTTTGACCACTCTAACTGGCTAAGCAAGGAACACCTGCTTTTAGTAAGAATTCCTGAATAACTGAAATACAGTGTAAATGTATGGCAGACAGAAACATAATGTTTGGGCCTTTAAATTTCAACATAATTGTCATTGTCCTGAAGTTTCTAGCACAGGTGCAAAGTGAAGCTAGTTAACTTAAGATTATAAGTTCAGTAAAAATAATTTATTGTTTGCATGTCTAGTTTCGTTTTTTCCAACACTTCTTTCTTTCTCTTTGTTTCATTCCATTCATACTGTATTTTTTTATTCTGCACAGGGCCATGTTGCCATGTTACACAATGCTTGCTGGAATCCAAAGACTAAAGATGAATTTATTTCCTGCAGTGATGATGGGTATGTTTGTTTTAACATGTCAATTCCATCCATGCTTGTGGAAGTTATAGCCAGCCTTGTTGGTCTTCACGATGTCGTCTTGTTCAGGTGTAGCATTGGCTCACAGAAAACTCACCAGAGATACTGCTCACAGAATACCTTGGAAATGAGGCAGCACTGATAGATATAGTACAGCATTAGAACCAATGTCTGTACTGTTCATGCTTCATCTGCACTTTTTAACTAAGAGTTACCTTGTACGGCAGAATAAATATTACCCTAGAAATGTACTGCTCAGTAACTTTCATTTGAATGGTCACTCTTAAGGATTTTATTCACACACTCAATATTTACATGTACATTGTAGAACCACCCTGCATATAGCAATTATGAGGAAAGTGCTTCTCATCAACTTTCATTTAAACTACTGCAAAACATCTATGTAGTACTTTTGGAAAGTCACACAATCCAAGACTTGCCAAAGGTTTAAATCAAAATTAATGTTATTAATGGAGAGTAGGGGTGGTGAAGTGGTGAGAGCTCTTGCCTTCCACCAATACCGCCCCAACATGGCCTGGGTTCAACTCCCAGCGTTAACGCCATAAAATGAGTGGAGTTTGTTGTCGTTTCTCTTCTCTGTACTTACGTTAGTTTTACCATCCCCTCAAAGAACCAGCATTCGCAATTCCAATTTGATCTCTTGGATTTACCTTGGTCATGGCTCGGTATATTAAGGACTAGTGAAGTTTCACTCTGATTTGAACCTTTTGTTTTCTTTGTCTTACATCATTCGTGAATGGTTACCAATGGTAACACAGAGGATGAGCCGTAGTGTCTTCAGTTAGTTCGGGACACTGAGAAACTCGCAGGTTGAGCAGTTTTTTATGGTTTTGGATTTGTTTGGTGACAGTAAAGAATATTTTATCAGCCTTTTTATCTCCCTGGTTACAGGACTGTTAGAATATGGAACACTGAAAACCCCAAGAAGAACAAAACTGTCATTAAAACGAAGAATAAACAAGGTAAGGCTATGGGTAACTTAATATACTGCACTTTGTATATAAACTTATTATTGGAATAATAATTGCCAAAATTATTTTTGTTGTGATTTGTTTAGGAAAGAAAACAATTCCCACGCGCTGTTGTTTTAGCAGAGATGGACGAATCATAGCAGCTGCATGCCAAGTAAGCCGATGCAGATGAGATTAATTGTCCCTACCGATGATGGTCATAACGTTTTCTTGAATAGCATTAGTAGCATTCGTCAGGATAACTATTGTCATCCAAATCAAGCAAAACGAACCTGCAGCCTCAGGTCTTAAAATGTACCTACATTTCTGCTGACTATCTAGACTGACTATGGGACTAGAAAGCTTAGGGCTGTCTGCGTCTTTGTTTCACTGTATCTCGTGTTTCGTCACTGGACACTGGACTTGTATGGCTCAAGTCTATGTAATTGCTGGGTTTCTTTAGTTCTATTTTGCTCATAGAGAGAGGGAAGATTAGGCTGTGTGAAGTCTCAATTGTATGTAGGTAGTTGCGTAAAATAATTATAATAACTCCGTGGCTTTCGAGGGATAGATTTCATCTTGAAGGACAGGCACTCGTACGGGAAGAAGTTTTTTTAGTTGGGCGCTTGCGTTTTTTTTATTAATTTCGCAAGTTTATTCTTAACTATTTCCCACAAATGAACCGGTTCCTTGGCTAAGGTACAGTTGTTTATTCACTTATTTTTTTACAATGTTCTGTTAGGAAGCAAAACTAATAGTTGTTTGTTTACAGTAATACTTTCGCATAGATAATTTCACTTATAAACACCATTACAATGGTGTTAACCTGACAGTTTTTGTAGTAGACAAAGAGTTTGCTGAAGCCAGGCCAATGTCCATAATATTTCTACATTTACATTCGGGACATTAAATTTTTTTCAACACTTTGATCCACCCCTTTAGTATTGCCGTCAGGGTTTGCTGTGATATTGTTATTACAAGTATCTCGTTTCATTTTGTTTTTTTTAATAGGATGGTTCTATTCAAGCGTGGGACACCAGAAAGCCATTTGTAAGTCAGCAGGGCTATCCACACTAAAAAATCGATCGGTTTCTTAACAAACATTGTGGCAGTCTTGCATGAGGCATTGCCTTTTGAATAGTGGAAGTGTACATGACTATCCCAGCTGGTTTGCAGGCAATGCAACCACATAATCACTAACAAATATAATCACTCAAACATAGGATGATTGAAAACCCTAACATGGCTTGGTTATTTAGAAGCATGTCCGAGCTGCTGAAATTGGCGACTACCAAGAAACAAATCTGGTCAGTGGTCCGAACGAAAGCCTCCGAGCTTGAACCACTCGACCATGTTACCTCCCGTCCCCTCCCTACCCCAGTATGTGGCTGATAAAAATAAGGCGCTAGGTTTGACCGTTGATGAAAACGTAAAGAAAGTATTCGTTTTGTTTATGAAAGAGAAGTGGAGGATGAATACCGTAAAATTCCGAAAATAAGCCCCTCCATGTATAAGCCCCTCCAAATATAAGCCTCCCAAACTCGCAACGCAAAAAACCCTCCGTTAAATCGTCCCTCCAAATATAAGCCCCCCCTCGGGGCCTGTACTTGGAAATTGCCCTCAAGTACAAAGTAAAACAAAGAGAAACGGTAAATTTCCTTCCAAGAATAAGGCTAGCCCAATCGATTTTGAAACGCAAATTTCCCTCCGTACATAAGCCCCTTCAAAAATAAGTCGCTCAAAAATGGCCTTTGAAAAATATAAGCCCAAGGGCTTATTTTCGGAATTTTACGGTATCACCTTTTAGCTTTACGCTCTGCTTACCAGGAAAAAGGGGTTCTCTATTCAAATTTTGGAAAAGAAGGATTTCGAATACAGTGGAACCTCGATAAAATCATAACAAAGGGACAAGGCAAGGGTCTGGCAAATATTTTCGCTGTAACAAGGTTTCGTTATATCGAGGTTCTTTTCTATATTGTATACTGTTACTGGAGTGTTATACCGAGGAGTTCGTTATATGGTAAATCCCCTATTACATCCCCTTAGGGAGGAGGGGGAGGGGGCTTATTTCTTTCAAACACTTTTGAAGGGGGGCTTAATAGAGACCGGGGGCT